TCGTCTCTCGCATCATCTTTCGTACTGTTGGGTATTGAGAGTAACAACCGACTCTTGAGTTATGAAGGGGTCAATGGGAGGATGCGAGTCTATCGTAGGTTCTATAACAACTCTATCACTCGTTTACATCCGACTTTATAGAGTGTTAGATTGATTGACATGTTCCTGGATGGTAACTTTCATCCCCTTGATCATATCTTCAAACTAGACGAAACCATTTGGATATTATTATCGGGATACTATAAAGTGACAAAGGAAGAGTCGGCACTAGAATGTAAGTAATATTAGGATGCATGAAATCCGAGATCGTACACTCTCGCCTTCTTCTCCCCTTCTACAACATCTATATATAACTTGGACATATCGATATTTGGAGACGATAAATCACCCTCATGCTACTTCTTAAAAGTCGCTTCTTACATTGATGACACATGCTTTTATATCATTGAAATAATTGAAATGTTAAATCATAAACATCTTTTTTAGATTATATTGGTAGATGTGTATATATTTAAAAATAAATAATTGTAATACCCCTAACCTAGAATCTAAAGTAGATCGAGAATATTATCGGCAATGCCTCACGAGTTGAAGTGCAATGAATGTAAGAGCCAAACCCTCATGAACTTTACTATTCTAAAATAATTAACATTTACAATAGAAGTTTCTTGATTTAAAAGTTTAGGTCCATCTTTTTATTCATCAAACTCTAATTCTAAAATTATTTCGTGAATCTTACAAAGATAGATTACTAATAATCTTTATTTAAACTCAAATCATGAAAATATAATTTGAAATATTTTAATAAAATATTTTTATTCAAATCATACTTGTTTAAAATAAAAACAAATTTAGTCTTCATAAAACATATTAAGTTGCAAACAACATTTTTTAAAATATACAACGTTTCTAAAACATACATATGAAATATATTATGTAATAATTATCTCAAAACCATTTAAAGTTTATACTCATTTTCATTTAATCAAATTCCCTTTTATTATTGTTTCAGATAAATATACTAATGGTGAAATAATTCATTTAGTCTTTATTAATTTACAAACCAACTTAACATGCACTTCATTATTAAATACATAATAATTCCATCAACCTTTAAATTTCTAAAATCATTTTATAAATTTATAAATTAAGAAGCCTATGGATTAGGATCCATTAAAATACTTTGGTTAAAAACTCCATTTAAGCTTATTAGAAGCTCAATTGGGTTTTGCATGTGATTAAAATCATCATTTAATTATTAAACTAATTAATTAATTAATTAAATTCCATTTAAGTCATCTAACCATGAAATCTTTTCATATATTCCTTGCTTAATATCATTTAACTAATCTTATATATTTATATAAACACACATACCAATTCATCATACTAATTCAAGACACAAAAGTCAATTGCTTAATATTTACATACTTATTTATTTGTTAGGTCTAAAAACCTTTAACTATATATATCCATAAAATTAAGTTTAGTATAAAATACCCAAACATGTCCAAAAGAATAAAAGAAAAGATAGATTTTGATCTTCTATGTGAAACCTATACTTAAAGTACACTTTTCTATAACCTGGACATATGTTGGCAACGTATTTACTTCAAAACTTGTCATCTCTTAATATCTTATTTTCCTACACCACATAATTAAATTTAAATGATGAGTCAATACTCGGTAAATAAAGTTCATGTATGCATGTCATGTAATGCTTGATGCATGATACAATGAAATACATTTTCTATGATCGAGTGCACCCTATCGAATATATTTATATATATCTAGCTATTCATGAAAATCATATTTGTAAAAACCATGAAAAACATTAGGCATGTCCCTTATGAAATCTATGATTTTCCTATGAATTGTGACATCCTCGCAAAGAGTTGATCATTATTCATATATTAAAATAAATTCATTCACTCATATATAAAAATTTAAGGAGGCAAAAAGACCAAGGATATTACATCCTCCCCTCCTAACAAAAATTTCATCCTTGAAATTTACTTAGTTAAATAACTTCGGGATTACATTGATTTCCTCACATTGTGATTTCTTCTTTAACTATATATGTTCACACCTAAGCAACCTTATAAACGAGTAAATCATTACCTATAAATCAATTGACATTCATTCAATTAATTCTCAAACTTAGTCATGATCAAACCATGTAATCTAGGTACTTTAGGATAAATTTTCCGAGTTAGGCATATATAATCATATTTATTCAACTTACTAATACTTAAAACAATACAATTACTTCAAACCAACCATTTTCCCCTCGGGTTCTACACTTTGCCAAATCTTTTGATTCGAGTACTATCCACTTCTAAATTTTTATTCAAACTTTAAAATAGCATCTAAATAGGATAATTCGTCAATTAGAATTAAGATCATATCAAATCTATCATCATTTTTATCATGTTCAATAATGTTCAAAATAATTGAACATTAAATGTACTATTTCTAAAATTTTCATCATCAATTATCTTACTTACATAACATACAATTCTTGTGGTGCGCTTATGTATGCATGACAATATATTCATTAGTTCATTTCCTTTACAATTCTTTCCTTTACCATATATATCATAAAGCGGCACAAGCAACCATCAAACATACATGCAACCCATAGGCAAGCATGCATAAAATTCAGTCAAGTAGACACATCAAACCATCAAGAAACATATATGCATACCTAATCAATTAAGCACTTAGAAGTCAAGATTGTTGTCGATGCCCAATTTATGTGTACTTATTTGGTTTCCTAATCAAGCCACTAGGTCAAACCCGTTCCGATACTATTCTATAATATCACAAACCTAGGACCTAAAATAGGTTGAAAGTATTGCCAACAATGTCTCATATTCGAAGTGTAATGAATGCAAGATACGAAATCTCATGAACTTAACCATTCTAAAATAATTAACATTTATAACAAAATTTTCTTAATTTAAAAATTTATATCAATCTTTTTATTCATGACACTATAACCATAAGTTTATTTCATTAATCTTTCAAAAAATATATCGAGTTCTTTCCAACATTCATGACAATGACAATAACATTTTTCTTATTGGAAAAGAAATAAATAAATGAAAGAGCAAATATCTCCTTTTGTTTCTTCACTTTTTTGGGGTGTTCAAATCCATGTGTGTGAGCATTGAAATCTGTTCCCTTTTCTTTGGAAGTTGGGTAGGCTGCTGTCACACATATTGAAGGTTTACACTTGGCATGATGCACTTAGAATCTTTAATATTGTTATTAGTATTTTTTTTCCTTATAGCCATTCCAATCTTCATTGTGCAGGTGTAAGTGACGTGTGATAACGTCAATAGAGATAAGTAAATAATTATAGAAAATTAGTAAATTTTTTATATTCAATATCAAAATCTTAGTATTCATTTACTAAAAATTTCAATACTAAAATTTCGGTATAATAAACCTTAAGTATTCTATTTTTTGTAATTGTTACTTGCAATCTGATATTGACATAAAAAAAAAATCATAATAATATGATCCTAAAATCACTCTCTTAATGCATAGTTTTGTATCTCTTTCAATGTTTCTGAAGATTTAATGAACAGAAAAAGTTTTTTTTTTTTTGGCCTATTTTAAAAAACGAGATGGTTTAATGTTATCTTCATTTTCTCAATTTTGTCCTTGTATTATTATTAATTGAGCCAATCAAATCTTATATAGTTAATTAAGACCAATTGAATTAATTAGTAAGATTTTGAAAGTGAGCATGTAAATTGGAGGCTATCAACTCAATAAGATAAATAAATAAGAAGCAAGTTCGAGTGATACTCATTAACTCAACTTGACTATATAGTTAATTAATTCCTCTTTTATTTTTCTGTATTGGAATAGCATTTAGTGAAAGTGAATGATATTGACGTGTGTGATGTGATTTAGTACTGATGCAACTCCAATTTTAAGTTTTTTAATGTTTTATCTTTGAGAAAAAAAAATCTATAACGAATCCGCAACACCTTTACAAGTTGTGATGAAAAGAAAAGTATGAAATCATGAATACTATTTAACTCAATTATTATAATTTTTTCTTTGAAATATATCATAAATTGTTTTAGAACAGTATTAAAAATTTCATCCAAAACTTACAGAACCTTGTCAAATAAAAGCTAATAGGAAAAAAAATGACAAAGATTACTGGCGTAATATTTACGATTGGATTAAAAAAACATCGGCTTCGTGCAATTTTGTGAAAAGAAAAAAAACAAAAAAACAAAAAACTGCTTGAATAAAGAGTAACTTAAAAAAAAATAAAAAATTCTACAATGAATCCACAACATATTTTACAAGTTGTGAGGGAAAGTAATTACTTCTTTTTTGTCTTTTTTATTTTTATTTTTTCTTTCCATTTCTTGTTTTCTAGTTAAAAAGAAATTACAAGGTTACGAAAAATTAAAATATAAGAACAATTGTGATGGATTTAAGAATTTACTTCTAATTGTTTGTCAGCATGTATTTATATCTAAACTCTACAGTGAAAGACAATTATCCTTGAGATGTTCATGGAGGTGGCAATTTAATTTGCTTTCATCGCCTTTATTAATTGTGAAAAAAAATGTACAAAAAATTAATTCTTTCCGTAAATATGTTTTTCTGATGTGAATATTATATCTAAAATTTGATCAGGAAAAAAAGTTTTAGAATTCAAAATTGGTTTGAAAATATTCTGATCATAAAAAATAAATTACAAATTAATTTTTACTTTTCGATTTAATTTATGGCTAGAAATATCCTTCAACTAAGTTTAAATATCTCTTCTATCTGATCATAAACAGTCTTTTTACTCGTCCTGATCTTAACATTCATGAGATTTGAATCTTAATGGCTAGTTTAGTGTTCAAGCGTAATTATCTAATATGTAGACTAGAGTGTATCAATTTTTACTCTCTAAACCTTGTAAGCTTTAAACTATATATTTATATATTTCGTCCTATAGGTCTATGATTGGATGAACAATGGACAAGAGAGGTTTAGATCATCGCCTAGTGATCGATGCTGCTATTCAATTAGACCTTATTGCCAAAGTGCGTGGAGTTTCTAGTGCTGAAATATTTTTCCTAAGGCGAAACAGAATGAGAGAAAAGGCCGAATCTTTGATTGATGAAATGAGAGATAAAGGTCATGTCACGCATGCACTTCCATTTAATGTGATGATGACTCTCGATCTATATGAACATCAAGGAGTACGCTAAAGTGGGCTTGATGATTTCAGAAATGAATGAGAAAAACATTAAGCTTGATATATATTGGTATGATATCTGGTTATCATCTTGTGGATCACAAAGGATCTGCTGATAAAGAGGGAAAGGGTATTTGAGCAAATGAGATCGGATAGGAGTATGGATCGAATCTACAACCTTTTGCACAAAACAAAAGGCGAAGGTTCCACTCAGACTGCAAAAATTATCGGTCCCGGCCACACATTATTACTTACGTTAGTAAACAAAAGGCATTAAAATCGCAGAATTTTCTTATAGTTTTATTGTGAACCGTTGCCTATGTCTATCTGTGCTATTGCCTGGTCCCCACATATCACTATAGTTAGCATCACTTGAAAGCTTGATTTAAAATGTTTTAATTTGCGTAGTTGAAATGTCATGTTCAAAATGTTCTATCTAACTACCACCTAGGTTATTCTAGATTGGTGGGCTCGAATGGACATGGCCATGGAGTCGACTAGAAATGGAATGGAACTGTACATGCTTTTGAATCATCTTACTATTGGGCTCTTTCTGTCTGAGTCGTTATTTTTGAAAGGCTATCGATTTGGGCCATTCTATTTGTTATTAATAGGCTTTCTTATGTGGGTAGCCATTGATGTCCTTTCTTATCCGGGCTCCTTGTATTCTAAGCCCATTTGAATATGCTAGATTGTCTTTAATATTATTTATTTTTATGGGGGACAAACTGTCTTTTAAAATGATTGCGTGCAGTTAATAATTTGAAATTATCGCGGTCCAAATTCAATGAAAGTATGCTCATTATCAAAATAATAAATGATTATGCCAATTTATTTTTCTAGTACAAAAGCATGCTGGTTTATACCACACCTCTTAAAACTTAGATTTTTTAGGAATTCATGAATGATATCCCTGATAAGAAGAAACGTAGTTTTCATATCCGAAAATATTTTTACTATTAAAAAAAAATAATAAAAAATATAAGATTTATTATATATAATGATTTTTAGGTTTAACAAATGAGGATCCTTGATTCAGTATTGAAACACTTCTTCTCGAATTAAGTCAAGCTAAAAATTATATGATGCAAGTGGCAACAAGTACTACTTGTATTGTTGGAATCAAATCCTTTAAAAAATAAAATGAAAAATCCTTTCATTCAAGGAACTGAGTAGAGAGCATATCTTTAAAGAATTGAAGTTGACTGTGGAGAATCATCGTGGTCCAAACTAGTTTAAAGTGTGCTAATTTATGCCTAACTTGTTAATAAATACTTCAATAACACAGTTACCATGCAGTTAAACCTTCTTTTTTTACCCGAAACCGCCCCCAACTAATCAGTCTGTCATGCACCTGATCACCAAATTAGATCGTCATGGCATATCGTTACTTTGTAATGGAACATGTAGACTGCTCCCATGATCCAGACACGCTATTCATGAACAACATAGACGCATAAGTATGCATGTTTATTTTCGGTTAAAAAAGATATTACATCAGTACATTTCCAAGTGTTTTTTGATAATTTTGACATCGTTTCATATGTTTTTTTGGCAATTTTGATATATTTTCAGGTGTTTTCCAGTAATTTTTGATATCTCAGTATCAGAATTATCTAAAAGAAAAATAATGATGATAATAATAATCATCAATTTCATGTTTTTTTTTTTCCAAAGTCATTTGTAAAGAACTTTCATCCAAGCTTGGACAAGGCATTTGTAAACAATTTGTTACCTTTAGAAATTTGAAATTTGCTCCTAAAAACAAAGTTATTATTAAGCTGATGGTAGAACCTGATTTACAGATTTAAGGCCAACCTTAATAAAACCTCACTGGCCGCTACACAATTTTTTTTCTTCTGTTTGACAGTGATTTATAGTACTGAGAAGTGACAACACAACGAAGAAGTTTTGAAGTTGGCTGTGGACCACCAAAATCATTTAATACATTGCTAATGGTAATGCATGTCAAATCTACTCAAATAGTACCTTTGATACTTCAACAGTTCCATTATCTCAGACAAGACATGAAACATTGTTCACAAGTCACAGTCAGGGCATGAAAAACCGAGCCCATTGCCCATGGAACATGACAAACTGAGTTTAGCAATATCACATCACATGGTATTAATTTGAAAAATCAAAATTTTCCATCCACGGCACAATCCTTGAAAGAACATGTAAAATGGTTAAGGGAAAGATGGAGATGCTAGTTAGTAACATGTAGAGAGACAATTCTACTTCTATGCACATGAATTGCTCTGCTGCTGGCATTAAGCAAAAGCATGCAGAGACGCAGACACAAGAAGAAGAATCATTCTAAGCTCTACAAATCGCGGAGTCAAGGAACCCACATAAAATTTTCTTGAGGAAAGAATTGCACTTTTTCATACTGTGGAGGCGACTCTCGGTTCTTAATTTAACAAGTTTCTCCAGCTCACGATATAATTTTCCTCATCTCTTGCTGCGGAATGACATTTCCTGGTGAGAAGCCACAAATAAGGAGAACCAAGCTAGGAAGCCAAAATATGCAAGCAACAGAAAGTGGCTCTTAGTTTGTGTCTACATCTACGCCCAATAAATAATAAAAACCTGCCGCATGGACCAATGAAATTGTTATTGCCCTGAACCATAGAGAAGGGTTATGCACAGGAGAGAGCGTTTGTGCAAAAATACAATGGATCAATCATGAAATTTGCAACCAGACATAAGAAAATTGTTGTTATTACCCTGTACCAAGGTAGGCAATCTTACCAATGGCATTCTGGATCATACTTCTCACCCAAAAGAATTTGGGGTATGGGGGAAGCCATTATCACTACTCTGCAAATAGTTTGCTAATATATCAGATCATGAGCAAGACATGCAAGACTTCTAATATGAAGGCTATGGTCTACATGCAACGATGTAAATGACAGACCATGCAGAACATATATGAAATTCTGCCACTGGCAGAATGTAAACTAGCTGCTTGTTGAGTAGCACCAAAAAGAAAATGCAAGGGGTTTGAGCAATCACAACAAGGTAGGATAAGACTGAATGAGACTTGGGATGAAGAACATGCATCTCAGGGAAACTAAAAGGTGGATTAATGGCTCAGAAACTATATTTCAAGGAAATTAACTGTCATAAATAGAAAAGAAGGATTATTCGGGTGTCAAAAATTGCAATATGTGCGCTGCCATTACAGGGAAACCTCGTCTGAGAGTGAGAGCAACAGATGGTACCTGAGCCAGCTCAAATGAGTCCAAGGCCACTTCTCACAAAACAAAAGCTGTATGGGCTACATCACATTTAGGTAACTCATTTCCGTCTCACAAAATATTCCTTGGGCATTATATACAGTTGAGGAGCTGGTCAACCTACATGCTTTTCAGAAAGAAGATCAAGCTCCTGGGCAGGATTTTAATGCAATATTATTAATCGTGGAACAATAGAATAAAATGCAGCAAAGCTTGAACAAAAGGCAACACTTCACCAAGTATACAAAAGCATAGCTGTCAACAAATTGGTATATCCATGAAAAAGTGAGCAATAATTATTAATCGTGGAACAATAGAATAAAATGCAGCAAAGCTTGAACAAAAGGCAACACTTCACCAAGTATACAAAAGCATAGCTGTCAACAAATTGGTATATCCATGAGAAAGTGAGCAATAAGCCCAGCACAAAGGCAATGCAAGGTTTGTGGCCTGGAATGAGGCTAAAAAGGTTGCAGACTGCATCTGTTATTGCAGCACCAGGATTAAACATTGAGGCATAACTCAAAAGTTTATTGTACGCACTTCAATCAGTTTAGAGACTTCACATGCTTTTCAACATGGAAATCATTTTAGAACTTTGAAAAAAATGTGAAAAACGTAGAGACTGTACTCCATTTTACAGAGAAATTTCCTAGTTCTGAAATGCCTAATAAACTTCCTAGTTCTGAAAATCCTTTGCAATTGAAATTAGCCTATTGGGTTCTGCAATTAGCAAGTGGAACACTCAGCTTATGCATTGCTATCCATCTTTAGAGGGCCTACATTCAGGAGAAAAATATCCACAATCTGATTAGCAGCTCCAAAAAGGTTGACACTCTAATGCTAAAAAGTCTTTGTAGCTTGCAATCATATGCACTCTAATGCTAAAAAGTCTTTGTAGCTTGCAATCATATGCGACAAATCGCTCTAAAAAATTTGTCGTCTTTCATTCATTGTTGGCCTTTACACTACAGGGCTTGGTACTCCATTTTTCGTTTATTAGTCTGTTTTTGCAAGTCAAGTCAACTTAAAAGACTTGATTGCATGACACAAGACAATTTCCCCTAAAGCCGTTATTTCTACTCAAGTCCTAGAGCATGCTTCTCTGATAAACCTTGAAAGTGTGACTTAAGTATATTGGTTTCCCTAAAGGCACTAATTTTAACTCAGTTGTCCTAACATAATTCTACAGCTTCTTTTGATATTGATTTTTTAATATGTCTTACATGCAAGCACTAAGCATCTGACACAGTAAGTTGCAGCTGCGACAACCTTTCTCTCTTAAATTTCATGGAAACCTGAACAACACATCTTATAATTAAGTTTCTGCCTTTCATTTATAATCTAGCACTAAAACAAAGGGTGAAAGCACAAGGGAGTAAAGTCAAGGGAAAGCAGACAATAAAAACTATCTCATCTAGTCATTTACTTGCCTTCATCACTCAACTATGGAGAAGAGTAACCGCTGAAAATCTAGAAAAAGCAACTTATCAATCAGAGAAACGAAATAGCATAAGCATCAAGCAAACTTATTCGGAAAACTTAATGGAAACAAAGAAATAAAAGTGCAGCAAAAATAAAATAAAAAATAAAAATTCTGCAACTGATGAAAGACTATGCAAGGTTAGGCGATGGCAGACCTCTTATTCATTCATTTAACTGATAATAGCGCTGGTACTTGCAACCAAACCCTCACCAACATTAAAGTCCAGACAGAAGAAATAAACCATTCCAGATCGTTAAGAAGTAACTAGAATCAACCAAAATAAGATTAGATTTCAACTACAAGGCAATTCTGCAAACAAAACGCAGAAAAACAGCAATGCTTGCAAAATAAAGATTAGATTTCAACTACAAGGCAGTTGTGCAGACAAAATGCCAATAACTCTACATGATTATACTACAACATTACAATAAACAGCTACAACAACAAAGTAACAACAGAAGGGAAGGGCCTTACATCATTAGGTAGCCTTCACCTTATCATCCCCTACAACTGAAAGTATGGGCAAGGTACTCAAAAACTCATCAAGACCCTCAAAAAACCCAATCCCTTCAATATTATCCTCCTCTCCGTGCCCAGGCCCATTCTTTTGACTTGATCCAGGCGCAGCCTCATCCACCTCATTACTAAACATCACATTCAAATCCAACTTCCCCAAATCTTTCGCTGCCTTCTTCTTTCCGCTACTCCCTTCCCCTTTTTCCACCACCTCCTCCGGTACGCTACCCCCGCCACCACCATCCACTTTTTGAATATTTCCAGCCCCCGCCGCTGCTCCTGCGCCTGCTCCCTTCTTAACTCTTTCATTTTGCGATTTCTTCACATTTTTATTAGGAGTTCCTTTCCCCTTGGCATTTTTTGCTTTCTTTCTCTTATTTCTACCCCACTCGTCACCGGAATCAGACTCATCTTCGCTTTGGTCAGAGATATCTATATACACATCATCTTTATAAATCACCTTTTGCTTAGGTTTATTATACATTTTATCATCACTACCAAAAGCACCACCAGCTTGGAATGGAGTCGCAAACATTGCCGAAAACGGCGACCAATTATTACCTAACCCATTACCTCCTTTGACCTTATTACCTGAAAACCCCAATGGAAAAAAACCCCAGCCGCAGAAGTATGTATCTTTCCCTGTCACCGGTGGTGCTTGTATCATGACAGCATGGAATGCCCTTCTACAACTTTGGCACCTTAGAATACACTCCTCATAAGCTTTAGGATACTCATACAGTATATAACAATAAGGACAAGCAGTCCAAAAACTCGGTACCTCTGGCTCACTCGCACTCGCCTTACTAGCTGACTGAGTTGCATGCGTTGTCTCAGTGGCAGCAGCAGCAGTGGCGGTGGTTGCGGGCTTAGGCACTTGCCGAGTCGAATCAGTGACACTCGGCTTTGGAGCTGATCGAGATAACCCAATAACCACCTCTGGCCGAGTTGGCTCAGTGGGAGTCTTAGATGGAGTTGACTGCTTTGTTGGCTCAGTAGAGGCCTTCGGCTGGGTAGGCTGCTGAGTTGGCTTCTGCTGAGGTTGTCGCCAAGTTGGTTCCAGGTTTCTCTGCTGAGTTTGCGGCCTAGGTGACTCCACGGGTTTGGCCTGGGTGGGGAACCGAATCGTAGACTCGGGCAGTCTTGGCATAGTGAACTGCGGAACAGGCCGAATCGGCTCAGGAGCAGACGGCGCTTGATGTTGAAATGGTGGAGGTGACGGTTGTTGAGACACGAGAAGACCGAGCTGACTCAGTTGCAACTCATGATCATACATTGCCTTCTTAGCAGGATTCGAAAGCACGAGCCAAGCCTCCGACACAAGCTTGAATGCCTGATCAGCGAAGAGCAGCCTATTCCTCGTCGGATTGAGCAACAAGGCGAGTTTCCTATACTGATTCGCAATGAGTTCGAGATCCTGAGTCAACCGACCGAGTTGGAGAATCGTATAATAATCATAGTGGTGGTTGTTCTCAACGCGTAACTCTCCGGCGAGGAGAGTGTCGGCGACGGCGATGATTTGATCGGCGAATTCATAGAGTCTCGGGTCGGATTCTCGGGCTCGGATCGCGAAGCTCTTAGCCCCGTGCAAGTCACGTGCAGCTAAGAGTTTCTCTGATATAGATAACCACCGCTCTGCTTCTACTCTGTAACCGTTTCCGCCTCCGCTGCTGCTACCGTCCATTTCCTTTTATCTCTCGCTCTAATTATTTTCTCTCTCTAGAAATTTATGGGTCTGTTCTTTTCAAGGGTGTGGGAGAAAGAAAGGAGAAAACAATTGGAAAGTGGATTTTTTGTATGGACGAAAAAGGACTAGAACTCCTTAAAGAACTACATCAATTGTCTTCCATAACAGATTTAAGGAGGGGCTGTTTTGGTCATTTTCCGTAAACTTGTCCATCCATGTTCATGGTGTTTTTGTGTTGGGATGGGAAAGTGTGATTGTTGAGAGGTGTTTTGGTCATTTAAGGAGGGAAAATCGCTGGTTTTTGCTTAAGGGGATTTGAACGAGGGGTATTTTGGTCATTTAAGGAACTGATAAGGTAATCTTAACTTCTAATGGGGGTATTATTGGGTTTTTAGGGGGAGATTATTGGATGGAGCTATAGTTATTTTTTGAGGAGATGAGGGTTGTGATTTGATAAGTTTGGTAATCCATTGCAAGGTTAGGGCAAGGAAACTTGTGCTTGCCATTTATGATGTTTTGTTTTAGGCATGGGTGGATACTGAGGATCAAGTTTTTCTACACTGATTTGTCAACAGATATAATTGCTTTTATTGTTGGCATAAATAGTTGGATCGTGTTGTAAATTAAGAAGAACGTAGAATCTTTTAAGAAGTAAAGAGAGATGATTAGTGGATATAAAAGGAAGATTGTCAGGGGTATTATAGTCATTAAAATCGAGAAATGATGTGGTAAAATGAAATGAGGCTGTTCGGTCATATGGGTGGAGAAATAAAAAAAGGACCGGTTTTTGTCAAGTGAAGTGAGACTTTGACATTTGGTAATTGTTTTGGACGACGTGTAAAAGAAAAGGCATTTGCTTCTTTCGGTAAAAGGATAGAACCAGAGAAATGTAATACGGTTGAGCTGTATGAGTTTTGGGTAAGGGGATGATGAGGTAATTCTATTGCTCTTATTCTTTTTACAGTTGACAGCCTAAATGGCAGGAAAATCCTACTAAGATTGATTGCTATGTTTGGCAGTACGAATCATTGCTAGAATGGCCAGTAGTACGAGATTCAGGCATTGATAGCCCATTATAAGAGGGGAACTTTTAGCCTAGAGAGCTAATGGGCCTTCCAAATGGGTTTAACATCTACTACCCAAATGGCCTTATAGGCTCAATAATATTAATATATCCAAGAATTCTCAATTGAATCTTTCCTCAAACAAATGTCCTTAAACTTGTTCTCGATTGGATCCCATTGTTAGGCCTATTTGTTGATACAAGGATCAAGTTGAGGTTTCTGGATCCATTGGAGACCCAATTGGTAAAAAGTATAGATTGGAGACTAATTTGAAGTTATCCACGCAGTTTTCTCATTTTATATGAAGGGTATTTTGGTTGCTTAATGAATTGATGAGGAATTTTATCGTATAGCGGTCCATTATTAAGTTTTTTCCTTCTTTTAGAGAGAGGTTGGGGGCTGAAAAAAAGTACAAAATTAAATAGTTAAATTGTAAAACACCTATTAGAACTTGAGGAAAAAAAATTACATTTGAACTAAAATCTCGAATTTTACATTCTAAATAATACAATTTTTTGAATGTGTCATTTCTATTAGGGTTCTGTTGAAAATTTGATAGAAAAACCACATAAAAATTCTCTCAATTTCTTTCTACCAACTTAGAAAAAAATAATGTTTGTTAATAGAGAAAAAAGAGAATTTGTGAGAATTTTTAGGGATTTTTTTCATCAATTTTTAAATAAAATCCTAATAGAATGGAATTTTTTTTTTTAAAAAAAAAATCGTATTATTTAGGGGAAAAAATCATAGATTTTTTAGTTTAAAATGAATTAATTTTTCATTCAAGTTTAGAGTGTATTTTACAATTTAACTAGAATAAAATGTATGGTGTCATTTTAGCAAATTTGCCTATAAAATTAATCAAATACTACCGAATGAACATTAAATAGGTGCTTTTTTTCCTTCCCTTTCTAAGCATTCTACCTTGTATAGAAAACACAAAATCACCAATTTTATTTAAAAGAAATTAGGGTTTAATCACATAAAATGTCCTTTTACCGTTGATATTTTCTAAATGTGGCCTTTTGTACTTTTCTTCTCATTTAACACCTTCTTATACTTTTTAATTTTTCTTAATATAGCCCCTTTCATTAAAATTCGATGACTTTTCCGGTTGATAGTAACGGATGGAAAAAACATTTCACATGGCATGACACATCATATAAAATTTGCCACTTGGCCCAAAATTTTTACATGTAAAAATGTAAAAAAAAAATAAAAAGCCAAAGTATAAAAACCTTTTGATTTTGATCTCTTCTCTCGTAGTTTATCAATTGATCGAAGTTTGCTCCGGATGAAAAAAATCCTAATCCTCACACATTTGCCTTCGATTTTCCGTTCACCATCGATTTGAAGCAATCAAACTCAAAGATCTTTGATTATTCAATAGCCGTAATCCTTAATTTATCCCAATTTAAGAAAATCTTCAATTCGGAATCCTAAATGCCCCATCTAGTTTTTTATGATCGGTATATGTTATTGTTGGTTGAGTGTTTATTGTCCCTTAACCAGCTTCAATTGATTTTTCGTTTCTCCGACTTTGTATCATGATAAAGTGGACAATATTAAAGAACAAGAATATCTAGCCAAAAAGTCAAGTTGTTTTGTCCTCTATTGTTAGTTTATTATAGTTATGCTATTTTATTGACTAAGTAGTGATCCTTTTTGTTGCAGTGGACAACTTAATAACGTAATAAAGTATACATTAGTGATCCTTATTTTGTCGTTAGTTTACCAATAAGGTAAATTTTTTATTCTCAATCAACTATTGTATATTGTTTTCTGACCCTAACTATTATTATATTGTTTTCGAAATCCTAAATACCATCCATTTTTTTATGATAAAGTATATGTCATTGTTCATTGAGTCTTTGTTGTCTCCTAACCAGCCTTCAATTGATTTTTTGTTTCTCTTACTTTGTATCGCGATAAAGTGGATAACATTAAAGAACAAGAATATCTAGCCAAAAAGTCAAGTTTCTTTGTCCTATATTGTTAGTTTGTTATAATTATGTTATTTTATTGATTGAGTAATGGTCTTTTTTGTTGCAGTGGATAACTTAATAACGTGATAAAATATACATTAGTGGTCCTTACTTTGTCACTAGTTTACTAATGAGGTAAATTTTTTATTCTCAATCAACTATTGTATATTGTTTTCGGACCTCGATTGTCTCATGGGTTGACTATGGTTAGTGATTTTTTTTTATTGATTGTGTTTAATAGATAAAGACATTTTCTTTTCATTTAGGTGGGTGTGTGAAAAGATCAATAGATCTAATGGGTTTATGAGTTGAATATGTTGGAGGGTCTATGTTTAAGAAGAAAAATATTAACCTAAAGTTATTGTGCTTTGGGATCTTCTTAAAATTAGTAGAGTAATTTGGTAGAAATGATAATACAATGATCATTTTACTATACCAAATCCCAATCTTTGTTTCTTAAGTTAATGCATAATGACGAAGTCCGATAGTGGTTATTAAACTTAAGAGAGAGTTGAAAATGTTGACATTTATTATGAACATAAAGGTAAAGACCACCCATTACTCAGTGAAGGTAGTCCATCTAGAGTATGTCTAAGGCTAAGGGTTACTAATCATGGTCTTAGGTTAGGTTTTAAGGATAGGAGAGAGGAGCATGATCAGTGAAGGTAATCCCAATGTTCTTTACAAGTACATGAGAGAACGAATGGTTTAAAATTTAGAGGGAACCTAGGGTTAAAATTTAGAGGGAACCTAGGGTTAAAATTTAGAAACTTAGGTGAGGATGAAAATATGGAGGGAAATAAGGCTGAAAATGATTGTGATAATGAATTCTTGAATGTCCTTGTAAAGAACATTGAAATAATAGAAATAGAACATGAATATGACTCGATACAATAGTTAGTATAGATAGCAAGTGGTGAGGATAATGAGAAATATGGGAGAAGAAGGAAGTCCAAAAAGGCATTTTTTAACCTAACACAACCGATTCACATTTTCGAGTTAGTAATGATTTTTGCCAATAAGAAGTAGTTTATTGATGCATTGACTATACATGCTTTGAAGTATAGGACTGGATTTAAAGCTTGAGAAGAATAATAGAAAAAAAGGTTAGAGTAGTATACAAAAATGAGGAATTTACTTTTAAAATTTTATGCTCTCTATATGGAAAATCTAAAAAACTAGATGGTGAAGATATATGTGACAAAGCATAGTTATAGTATTGTTTACAATAACATCCATTTGAGTTATAAAGTTCTATGTAAGCATTTAATTCATAAATTTAGTATAGTTTGCTTGAAAATGACATTAAAGGAAATTATTGATGTATCTAAGAAGGATTATGGATCGAAAATCTCGTTCACACATGCTCATCATATAAAAAATTAATGCAAAGTAAAGATTAAAGGTAATGTGAAATCTGAATTTGATAGACTTGAAGATTATGCTACGAATTAAGGACCGAGAATGAGGGTAGTAGTGTTATCCTATGATGTGAGAAGGAATTCAAAAATTTTTAAAGGATGTGTATAGGTTTTAAAGTATTGAGGGATGGTTTTTAGGAGGGTTATAGGAAGATTATAGGTTTAGATGACTCGTTTTCTCAAAAGACATCATAAGGGAGAACTTCTAATGGCTATAGGCAGTGGATGCAAACAACCATATGTTTCCTTTTTATCGGGCAATTGTAATAAAGGACACAAAGGAAACATGAAAGTGGTTCTTGTTTTAAATTATGGTTGATTTAAAAATTCCAATAAGTCTTGGACGTAGGTGGACTTTCATCTCAAATTTTCATAAGGTGATGCATTACTTTAATTTTTTTCTTTTATATAATAGTTAAATCAAGTTTAGAGGTTAGTTTTAGTTTCATTTTTTTTTATTAAACTAAATTTACTTGTTGTTTTGATACAAGGCCTACTAGATGTTGTAGTTAAGTTATTGCTCGATG